CATTGGGAAGAGGTAACTATGGGGAGGAAGTGGGAGGGGAGCTGTTGCATCGTGGTAAACTGTGGTCAATGACATGAGACAAAGTATATGTGACCTGCTGTAGGGAAAGTGAATTTGCTCTGTAAACCTTCACCCAAATAAAAAAAAAAAGAAATCAGATGTTGTATTGCACTGGGCAAATCTGCTGCTAAAGACCTCTTTAAAGTGTTGAAGAACAAAAATGTCACTTTGAGTCTAAGGTGTGCTTAACCCATGCCATGGTATTTTCAATCACCTCATAGGCATTTGAAAACTGCAAAATGAATAAGGAAGGCAGAAAAACTAACGCCTTTGAATTGTAGTACTGGCAGAGAATACTGAAAATACCATGGATTTCCAGAAGAATGAATAAATCTATCCTACAAGAAGTGCAGCTGCAATGCTTCTTGGAAGTGAGAATGGCCAGACTTTGTCTTATCTACTTTGGTCATGTGGTCAGAATGGACCAAGTCCCTGGAGAAGGATATCATGCTTGGTAACGTGGAGACCCTCAAAGAGACAGACTGACACTGGCTGCAATGATGGGCTCAAGCATAGCAAGAATTTGAAGATGGCGCAGGACAGGCCAGTGTTTCATCCTGTTGTACACAGGGTTGCTATGAATCAGAATCGACTGGACAACAACAACAAAACAAGTCAAACTCATTGACACTTTTTAAATTGGGGTATAAATGCCTTCAGGTCACTTCATTCTGGACCAGTGATTAAACCTGCCTGGGTCTTTGACCACTCATTATACAATTAAAGCTACAGGAAAAAATGCCTTTTCAACAAAAATGCATATACTTTTGATATTGTTTATTTTCTCTGGAGGTTCATGGAACACTGAAGCCCATCAATGGCTAGGGCTTCAACTTTGGCCTTTCACTTGGACTCTGTGAAAGGAAAGACAAGATCACCACAAGACTCAGAACTTAGGCAATTTATGAGATGTATTTTAAGCAGATGACAGGTAACCAGAAAAGTAAACTAAGGCCCACCAAACATCACAGCTGCTAATCCGATTTTTCAGATTAAAATGTCTTCTACCAAGTACACTGATGCTCCCCTTTGTTGGTACAAATCTAAACAGATTTCTAGCCAAACATCTTTCACAGGCCAAATCTGAGCAGTAAACACCAAGTTGGTGAATCAATTCAATCTCTAGAATTCCAATGAGATGAGGTAGAGAAAAGCACACATTTGCCTTTCTAACACTGGACTGTAAGATATAGGACCAAATACACACACACACACACACACACAAGCACATACTTCCCTAATAGTTTAGAACAGCTTTAAGGTAAACAACCTTAGGCACTGTTTGTGGTTTTATGAGCAGTACAATGCAATGAAACTCAAACTAAGCAAAAATAATATACTGGCTTGTATGTTTATAAGTCAGGTAAATTCCCTCTCTCATAGCATTCCCCAAAAACCTATTAATCTTACTATTTATCACTTAAGTAAGCAAACAGAGAACACTCCGTTCAGCTACAAGCTTGGTCAAACCCCAGTTTGTTGCCCAAGTCTGGATGATCAAGAGCTGGAAAAACATACCAAGTGTTTTGGAGTGACATACCAAGAAGGAATGCCATCTTAAATAACATATCTGGCATACTCCCTAAATTTAGCGTTGGGAATAACCTGTGTTTTCTTTTCTATCTCCCGGCTCCTAGGTAAACTAAAGTGCTTTTTGACACCTGTGAACCGCCCCCCCTCTACACACAATTGAGTTATTGTGAAAACTGGCAGCTAACAAGAAAGTACCAGTCATTCTTTGTGGGACCCTCTTGTGAGTTTCTCACTGTGGGACTGGTCACCTGGGGTGAGCCTACCTTCCGGTGCCTGCTCTCGGCAGCAGCCAGCTGGGACAGCATGCGCTCCTGCATGTTCTTGCACTGCTTCATCACCACCTTAAGGATGGAGAGTGGGTTTGTGCAGACGGGCTGCTTCTCACCATCATTTTTCTCCTTGAGAGTTTCAAAGTCTCTCTGTAGAGCCATTAAAGGATCACTGATGTTATATTTTCCATAGCGTTCTTCAATGAAAGTATCTCTGTGCTGGGCCTGGGAAAGAGGTGGGGGGAAAGCATTTTTGCTTTTTAAAAACAATAGAGGATGGAGATTTGCTATCTAGTAGTTATACATTAAAGGTGTTGCTGTTAATATAAATGTCACCTATTGACTACAAATCAGGTCGGTCCATCTAAACAGAAATAACATCAGAAAGGTGGCATTAGACAATAATGAGAATAAACACTGATAGAGGGTGAGCAATATGTTACATGTTGTTCTAAGTGCTTATGTTCACATTGACTTATTTAAATTTTACAACTCTATAAGGTAGTGCTATCATCTCGATAGGAGCTCTGGTAGCATAGTGCCTAAGGCACTTGACTGCTAACCAGAAGGCTGGCGGTTCAAACCCACCAGCCACTCCTCGGAAGGAAGGTTGGACAATCTACTTCCGTAGTGATACTGCCTCAGAAACCCAAGGAGGGGTGGCTATGAGTTGGGGTGCACTCGACGCCAACGGCACACAACAACAACATCATCTCTATAACGCAGATTGTTGTTGTTGTTGTTGTTATGTGCCATCGAGTCAGACCTGACTCATAGCGACCCCTCCTTGAGTTTCCGAGGCAGTATCACTATGGAAGTAGATTGCCTAACCTTCCTTCCAAGGAGTGGCTGGTGGGTTTGAACCGCCAGCCTTCTGGTTACCAGTCAAGTGCCGCAGGCCTACGCTACCAGAGCTCCTATAACGCAGATTAGAAAACTATTAAAGAGAAGTTCAGTAACTTGTTCCAGGTCACTCATCCAGCAAGCTGTCAGAACTGGGATTTAAACTCAGGCAGCCTGGCTCTAAAATCTGTGTCCTTAACCATCATGCTTATTGCCTCTGCTTATGTCTACTTATGACTTCTTATGTTAGCAACAAGTACAGCTTATCTTTTCTTTCTGTATTATGGTATTCATATTTCTAAAATATGTTAAGCATGACACTTTTATGAATTTACCTATTTAGAGGCCTAACAAGGTGGCATTAGATAAGTAAAGGATGCTAAAAATAAATGTAATCACATTGTAACGTAGGACTATTTGTGATATGCACATATGGGACTTTACTCAGTTGTTGATGGGTCAAGAGGACTGAGGCACTCACAACCAGAGCTGCAGAAAAGAATCCCTTCTACCTGCTGCCAATTCAACCCCCTCTCCTTCAGTCTCTATTCAGCTGCCACCTTCCTGCCTGTCTCCTTCAGATCTCACAGAGCTTTGGGAAAGAGAGAGGTGAGGAAGGGATGTAGCCTGGTGCTTAGAGTTTGGTCTAGGGCTTTGGGCCTAAGTGCCCAGTCAGGGGTATAAAGGTCAGCAGGTGAGTGGGAAGATACTTTCAAGCTTCTCTCTTCTATCTTTGCCAGAAGGGGCTTGAAGTACTACTTTCTATGACCATCATAGTACATATAGGTAAGCAGACTAAAATTATTGATGACTTTATTACACAGACATTAAAAAGTTTCCTGAGACATTTTACAATTAAAAAAAAAAGTGAAGAGTCAATAGAGGGATGAGTAAACGTTCTCAAAAGCTACAGCAAATTACTATATAATTTAACCTCTCCCATTAAATTCAAATATGAAACTACTGTCATTTTTATAACTATCTCATAAGGAGGTTTTCTTACTACTACCACTTATAGACAGGAACCCATTAGAAAAAACAGGAAAATTCACAATTCAATGGTTATGCTTTAATTTAAACAAACAAAAAACACCCCAAAACTCTTAAGAAAATAACACAAACATGGGTTTCCTTCTTATCAAGGCTTCTTAGCCTTCCTTGTAACCCCCAAATCCCAAAACAAAGATGTATGTTTCAGTGCTGGAAATGTGATATCTCTCTCCATATTAGACTGTCCAAGTTTAAGCTCCAGGAATCATTTAACCTCATGCTACAAATTTGTGTTGGTTACAGTTGACAAGTGGTCAAGGTAGGTTAGAAGCCCTGAGTTTTACTTCTGGCTTGACTACAACCATCTTAAGTGATGACATTATTGGAGTGTTTGGATAATACGTGTATAATGGAAATACGGAGAGTAAAATCAGTTTGTTCCTTTAAGTTACTAGTTGTGTTGTGTGCATAGGAATTAAAGGGGGAGGGAAAAAGGGTAACTTGAAGTGAAGACTCCAAGACAGAATCCTATTTTTTCTTTCAGCTCCAAATTAAAAAGGAAGTTCTTATTAAAATTTTACAATGACCTTTAATCCACTTAGGATGAAGAAAGAAAAGACCAATTGCTGAATCAGCTACTTTTTGTTGTTGTTTAATCATTGTAAAACAAAAAAGTAAGATTTCAGCTAATCTTACAAAGCACTGGTCTCAAACAACATGGGACTCATCAATGTTTTCCTGTTTCTTTAAATATTGATGTAAAAACATGAGACTGCTAACCTAGGATTCAACGAGAGTATCAAAATTTGTAGCTATTAATGACTAAAGGTAAATTTATGTTTAGAAAAATGTTTATGCAAAGGAGGCGAGAGAAAAAGTCTCTTTAAGTAGCTGAAATTCCACTTTTCCAACTGTCACATTTTTTATTCATAACCATTTCAATATGATTAGTGATGGTAAAAGAATGAGTATTATTACTGAAATTGGCCTTAGTACAGCAAAAAGGAAACAGAAAAAGTAAACTTGAATATTTTTTATGACCTTTTCCTTTTCAGAACACCAGAGAAATTATGATGGAATGGGGGGTGGGGGTAGGAGCTGGGAATACAATTCATGACCTTCCTGAGATCAGACCTGCTGAGAAACTGTCTCTCAGGTTTGAGTATATAGTTACTAAGCCTCAAAAATATGACTTTCTAGAACCTACACTGTCATTATCTTGTGTAATTAATACACATCACAGGGTTAAGGGTAATAGCTGAGCAGCTTCTTCGGTCATGTCTTGGACTAAGAACAGTTGTTAAGCTGTCTCTTTTCTCTTGAACTTCAGAGTAATTCTATAATCACTTGCATAGTAATTACAAGGTATACAAAATTGGCGGCTTTGCGTATAAACGAAAAGGATCTGTGGAATAACCTAAAAAAGGCTCCTTCTCACACAGCATTTTTTTAAAGTACATCCTAACATGGAACCAAATGTAAGAAAGTGAATTCAATGTCTGTATTTATTATACCAAACACTGGATTATAAAATGAGAAATGATATATGGTATTATTCAAACAACTTAATGACTCTGTCAGGTGAACTATATGGATGAGAGGCTTAACACGGTAAACAATAACAACTATCACCAAAAAAAGATGTTAAGATTTGAAGAATGAAAGAAGCGTTTTAGTGGAGATGTGTATTGATTATTTATTCCTGTATAACAAATTACAAAACTTAACAGCTTAAATAACAAACATTATCTCACAAGGTTTCCAAGGGTCAAGAATCTGGGAGGGGCTTAGCTAGATAATTCATGAGGCTGCAGTCCAGTTGCTGGCCAGGGGGCAGCCATCTTGAAGGCATGACTGGGACTGGTGGATCTACTTCCAAGCTTACCTATAGGTCTTGGTTCCTTGTTATCTGCTAGCTTTTCACAGAAACCAAACTAAAAGATAGACAGAAAGAGAAACAGGGCATGCTACCAAGAAGGAAGTCACAGCATCTTTTCTAAGCTAGTCTTGGAAGTGGTATACCATCACTTCTGAAATAGTCTACTGGTCACACAGACAAACCCTGGTAAATGTGGGAGAGGATGACATACGAATGCAACTACCAGGAGATGGGGATTCTGTGACCATCCCAGAGTCATTCACTCTGTGCTATCACAATCATGTACATCTCAGGCTAAAATTTAAGTACCTACATTCAAAATTGTCAAGGCTGAGTTTTAATAACATTTGCTAATTTATAAGAAATTTTAAGTGACTTCTTTTGGGAGCAGTTGGTATTAAAGCTAAAATCCATCAATTTGGAGTTCTATTCTTTTCACTTCAGTGAAGATGTAGATTTCAACTGAACAGAAATCTTTATGTTGTCAGAAAACATGATGGTTTTCATTTCAGACAGCAGGGAAATAATTGGCTGGTTACAGATTCAATGATATTATAGAGTATTACTAAGGCAGACAAAACACATAAGTCATCTATTACTCATTTATTTTTACTGTCACAGGCAGAATGAAACATGCTATTAATGAAAGCTTAAAATAAAATCACATAATATCCTTGGAGTCTGTCATGCTTGCTCTCCAAACATTCAGCAAGCATCTTTCTTCTCCAAGCGGCTGGTGGGTTTGAACACTGACCTTTTGGTTAGCAGCCAAATTCCTTAACCATTGCACCACCAGAGCACCTTACTTTAAAAGTAGGATGATACACACATACATATGACTCACTGCTGTCGAATCGATTCTGACTCATAGCGACCCCTCCTTGGGTTTCCGAGGCCGTATCTCTACAGAAGTAGATTGCCCAATCTTCTTTCCAAGGAGTGGCTGGTGGGTTACATACATACCTTTTAGTACTGTATCTATCTATCTCCTATTCTTGTAGTAGGAAATCAATCTCTTTTTCTTTGGATGACCATCAGTGATACCAAAAGTGGTTCCAAACTGGAGGTTTATATTCAAGTGTGAAGTTTTATTTTTAAGACTCTAGCTGGTACCATAACTGAATTAGGATTCAATTTTGCCATTTATGAGACAATTCTCAAGTGATCCTTTAAAAAATAATCAGCAAGATAAACATTTGAGAAAAGTCTGAATACCTCTATGCCAGTGAACCAGACAGAAAAAAGAACAGGGTTCCAATATAGTTTTTAATAGTGCTACCAAAACATGCTAAAAGGAGTCCTTTTCACACACAAGCTGAAATCTATTAGTCTTCAAATAATTCATATTAATGAATGAGTCCCTGCTAAACTATAAATAGCTGTCTGAGCAACTGGAAATAAAGCAAACATTCTGGATAACGATGATAACAGTTCAAGAATACTCTTCTGTTTTGGAAGTTCCTTTTCACTTGCTGAAAGAGATTTTAACATTTAACAATCCTGATGAAACAGG